ACTGTAAAAGGAAGGTGTGAGTTAAAAGAAGCAAGAGTAAAAATTCCACCTTTTCTGTGGTTAATTTACTTTATCACAGAGCACCAACATAAAAGAGTCAACTGCAAAGCACTCACAACAGATCTGATCCATTTTCTTTTGTATTTGATTATTTCAAGTTTACCAAAGTTGTAGGACTTTTAACTCAAAAACCAGAAAACAGAGAGTCTCTTGTAACAGCCCTAACCTAAGTTGGCTTCTGCTTTCCGTCCTATATACTAATTGATAAATCTGAACTTCTTCTTTTTCAAGATATCATTTGTTTATCAAGTATAGCTTGAGAACTTATTAAATTAAGCCAGACCTTAAAAAGTTTTATGAATAATATAGCAGCACATGTGAGCTGAGTGCAAAGGGGACCTCTCTTCTTTCTGTTTTTATTTTGTTGTTGTTATGCTATTGTTAAATGTACTAGACCAGGGAGATGGTATGAATCTTAAAGATACAAGTAAATGTTGGGTTAATTTAGTTGTTCCCATCGGGTGTGGTGGCACACGCCTGTAATCCCAGCACTCGGGAGGCTGAGGCAGGAGGATCGCTGTGAGTTCGAGACCGGCCTGGGCTACATAGTGAGTTCCAGGTCAGTCTCAACTACATAGTGAGAGCCTGTCTCACAAAACCAAAATAAATAAATAAATAAACAAATTTAGTTGTTCTGGATATTTAAATTGGAGTTTTTATTTTTCTACCTGAAGGGTTGGAGTAAATTAACCAAAGTGGAGCTATTGAATGTTCTTTAAAGGCTTCTAAAATCAATATGATTTTCAGTTAACTTGGTGAATAGCACACAGAGACAGCGGTGCCCTTGGTCAATCCCCACGTGCGCAGGTGTGCACGGCTCCATGCTTACTGGAAATGGTCCTCCATGTACCACTGACGGTCTCCTCTCACCTTGCTCTTCTTTTCCTTATATTCCACTCCAGTGTTGCACTGTTGTCTTTCTCTAAGTTCATATAATGTTGGAGTAGAAATAATGTAAGGGACATGTCTAAATTCAAATGCAAATTCAGCTCCTTGTTCAACCAGGGATTTTGGATAGAATTTTGTGTGTGTGTGTGTGTGTGTGTGTGTGTGTACTGGGGATTGAACTCAAGTCCTTATACTTGTGAGGCAGTCGCCAGAACCACTGAGCTAAATCCCCAGTCCTGGATAGGATTTTTAATTCTGACATCTGAGTTTTTATTTTAGGTGAAAAAAGGATACTCTTTTGTGAAACAGTATCACTGAAGCAATATTCAGTTATTGTTTTCTATATTCATCAAAATTATATTCATTGTAAACAATACTGAGATTCCACTTCACTCCAGAAAGAATGGCTGTTATCAAGAAATCAACCAATCACAAAAGATGGCCGGGTTGTAGGGAGAAAGGAACCCTTCTCCATTGTTGGTGGGAGTGCAGACTGGTGCAACCACTGTGGAACTCAATATGGAGATTCCTCAAACATCTAGGACTAGAGGTCCCATTTGACCCAGCTATTCCACTACTGGGTATCTCCCCACAAAAATTAAAATAGGGCTGAGGATTTAGCTCAGTTGCCTGGGTCCTAAGCATAAGGTCCTGAGTTTGATCCCCAGTACCAAAAACAAACAAAGAAACAAAGAATTAAAAGAATCATGCCCCAGAAATATATGTGCACCCACATTTATAGTGGCATAGTTTATAATAAAACTTGAAAGTAGACCAAGTGCCCATCAACTGGAGACTGGATAAAGATGTGTGTGTGTGTGTGTGTGTGTGTGTGTGTGTTTTAAATAAAATGGAGTACTATTTAGCTGTGAAGAGTGAGACACTAGAGACATTTATGGGTAATTGAATGCACATTGAGGCAATACTCTTAAGTGAAATAAATAGGACACACATGTGTAAATACTGAATAGTTTCTCTGGTGTGAGAAACTGTAATTGAAAAAAGGACCAAAATATATATTAGATAATTCAAAATTAGAAGAAGAGGTCTAAAGGGGAAGGGGAACTAGGAGAGGTAGGGGAAAGAAAATAAGGGAAAGGAAAAAATGGAAACAAGTCTTTGAAAATAGGGAGGGGTGGAGGGGTTGAAGGGAGGTCAGGGGAATGGGGAAATAAATAAGAATCAAGATATATCATTTAAAAGTACAAATTCCCAATGATGAATGGCATCATATTTTATACCTAAAATGTGCCAATAAACTTAATAAAAACAAAATCATATTCATTGTGAATTATGACGTGCTATGGGCTGAATTTGTGTCCTTTCAAAACTTAGGCATTCAAGACTTGAACATGAATGTCTCAGAATATGACAATAGTGGGAGACAAAGTCTCTAAAGATGTAATCAAAGTAAAATGGTCATAGAGGTGACTAATCCAGTGTGACTGGTGTTTTTTATAAGAGAAGGCTAGGAATCACCAAGAGGAAAAAGTGTAAAGATACAGTGTGAAGATGACCACTTGAAAGACAAGGAGAGAGGCTTCTGGAGATGAGACACCTGCTGAAATGCATGTAGAAGAATGAAAACATAAACTTCTATTGGGAAGGCACTCAACCTATGTCATTTTGTGGTGACAGCCATTGCAAACTAATACTGAAAAGTATAATCAAAGAAGAATTGTCCTCAGTATCATTCCTTTTTCTTCTAGCTATCGTTCTTTTCTTCTGCATCTTCAATCAACACAAGCCCACCCTTAGTGCACAGCAAACAAGACACATGTACCTACATCGCTAAGAGAAAAGTCTACTCCTTCCATGTGTGCACAGCACAGGACCATCCTTATCTGCACATCCCACAGTTAGAAGATGAGCTCAAGCTGTGGTCCCTTTTCAGATACTTCACCAATCCAATCTTGGGAGAGGCTGCTTAAGAACACGGTCCACAATTTTGTACTAGAACTGAAAATAAGAGCCAGGGGTCGTGGCACATGCCTATAATCTCAGCACTCGGGAGACTGAAACAAGAGGAGATTGCCTTAAATTCCAGGCCAACCTGAGCTACATAGTGAGTTCAAGGGCAGCCTAAATTACATAGCAAGACTCTGTATCAGAAAAACAAAACAAAACAAAGAAACAAAAATCATAAAGATCCTAAAAATAAACTATGATGCATGCCTTAAGGAAGAGTTCATAAAGATTTTGTTAATGAATGACAAGGAGTCACTCATATGATTTCAAAGAATTGTAAAATATACCCAAATGTTTCTTGTTCTTACCCTTTAGAGGTTGTCCTTAACCCTAACTTCCATTATTCTGTGCAGGCTCAATTGTGCCATGATTTTACACAAAATACTCTATGCTATCATTTTCTACTATCCTTCCCATCCCATTGAACATCTGTAAATTTTAATTCCCTATTCACTTGGAAAAAATAAGAGTGCAAGTGTTCTGAAGTAATTAAGAAAATTAATATTTTTCAGTAGATTCTTAAAGCATCTTTGGGAAGGCTCTACTCCTTAAATTTTGCATTAATTATTAAGAAGGTTGTTATGATATAAGACATTGTAAGCCTGAAGTTCAACACCATAAGCCTTATCATGGAACACTCTGTTGTGAAATAAGCATAGGACCAATTCAAGGCAAATATGGAAAGATAAGATAATTATGAATGATTCCCTTATACTTTCAATCTTTATTAAGTGCTTAATACTTTTTTGTCAGGGGAGTTTTCCTCAGTGATTCATATTCCTTTCTTCTCTAGCATCATTTGCCCTCTTACCTTGGGTGTCTTTCTCCTAGTGATTTACTCTCCTAAAGCTCATTATTAATCCTTCTGTTAGTGTGGGGATCGGCAGACCCTTGGATTTCTTTCCACTGCAGCTCATGCACTCATCTTGGAAGTCCTGTTGGTCAAGCCTTGACATGACTGTGCAGGAAGCCTCTCGTATGTGTTCGTATCTTATCCAGAGGAAGACCTACTGCACACACTGAATGGTAAAGCTGTGTGAGAATGCAGAATGATCCCAATATTCCTGTCGCTCTGATAGCCTCTCCATTGGCCTCTAATCAGATTTCCCCTTACCCCTTAGTATTCTCAGGTTAGAGTCTCAACAGCAGGAGACATCTGTCTTCCAGAGTACTGAACTCGCGAAGAGGCACAGCTGCCAGGTGACCGACTGCCTAGCCTGCTTAGGTTTAGCCTTGAACATCCCTATCTCAGGAAAACTTTCAGGGTCAGCAAATCAGTAAAGGGTCACCATAACTCTTCCTTTCGAGGTAGGGTTAGGGTTCACAGCAAGGATCTTTCATAACATTTTTTTAAAATCTTTGTTCACCCGTTTCCCTTTCATTGAGGGAAAGAGGTTTAAGAGTTTTATAGTCTCTTCATAAGCACCTTCTTTTTCAAGTTCAAACTGATGGAGAGTCTCATACTTCACTTTAAGTTGTGAGATTTTAGCAAAATTTTCTTTTCACATATTGTCACCAAGCATCTCCTTGGACCCTACTGAGGATTCTCAGCTCCTATCAGAGATCTGGATCCAAAATGCTGGAATTTGGGTCTGTGTCTCACCAAGCCGTGCATATGACCTGAGATAAGGTGGAATCTGAGAAACACTGGGGCGTCTAGTTTTGGGTTCTCAGCTCTGACTGAACATTATAACTTCAAAGGAACTGAATTCTGTGGGCAAATTCTCACCTTCATTGGTTGAAGATTAGGAGAAAGCAAATTTTAAAAAGGTCCCTGGAAAAATCAAATGAATGACCGTGATTTTGAACCACTTGTCTATAGTGTTGCTTGTGTAATCGCCACTGGAGGATGGAATTGTTAACTTCTTCAGAGCACAAAGACTCAAAGACCATGTAATTTTCTGGGATTCTTCACTTCAACTCAGCCCTTCTGCATGTGAAATTATATGTAAAGGAAGCCTCCAGTCTACTCAATCTGTTTCCTCATATTCCGTTCCACTTTATTTTCCATTTCTTTACATTCATTTACATTCTTTACATTCATTTGTTTAAATTTTACGAAGTTTCAAATTAAAATGATCTCATCAAAATCTGGAATTGCACTTCCTTTTTATTTGTGTTCCGTTGTCTTCTGTCCCGAACAGAAGACCCAAAGGTATCTGTCAATAAGCAGCCCAACTTGGAAAATCATTCACATGTTTGCTTGGTTCTGTGACAATATGCTGTGAGGACCTGAAAGGAGATCACATTTATTTCACTAGACTGCAAACCTTATAACAAATTAGAGTGTGAATATTATTTTTTTAAAAAAAGGGAAATACAAGCATTTGCAAATAGGTACATTAATTTGCAAATGGCCACGTTATCCCACACCAATTAGTCTTTGCGAACCATTAAGACTGTTAGTTCTGACCACAGATAAGCAGAATTCTGCTGCTTCTCAACATCTTCCAAAGAAAGTTAATGTAACTCAAAAGATTTCACTGAAGGTTTTCCCTTCTCCATGCTTTGTTTACTCTGCCCCTTCCATGTCAAAGGAACTTAACACTTGTGTTAGTAAAGACATTCTTTAACTAGGTCTGTCCCTTTTGGTGGACTTTGGAACAAAAAAGGAAGATTCTTGGGATTTAGATTGTGGCTAGTTGCCCTTGTACTAAAAGACAAGTCACCTTTAAGGCGGAAACAATGTAGATTAAAATGAATTTTTTTTAAAGTGCTGAAATTATTCAAACAAATGGGAATGCTAACTCCTATTTTTCAATCTACAAACTTGAGCATGCTTGGGAAACTAGACCTACGCTAAAACAAAATGTTAAACTATAGCTAATAAGAGCCTTTAATTTGGTTTTGAATTCAAAGACACAAAGCAAAATACAAAATAACTAGCAAGAAGAGCTGATGCCCAGGATTCTCTGTAGGGACTGCAAACTTTTGGTCCTTTTGATTTGTCTAAGTATGTGAAAGGTTAGAGAGGATTCATAATTCTATGTGATAAGAATATGTCTCAAATTAAAAGCCAATTTTCAATGAGTTCATAAACTTAGAGGAAAATTTGCATCAGAGAGGCTTTAAAATTTAATCTGAGTTACTGTACCAAGCCCCACAGGAGTGCTTCACAATTTTTCATGTTCGATTCTATAGATCTACATGTCAACTCCCAAGGAAGTGTACTGAAATGTTCAGGGTCATGGATTATTCTGGTCTTTTTTGAGGAACTTGATCCAGTCAATTCTTCCTATTATCACTGTCCTCCTCTAACACCTACTACCAGAAAAAAAAATTGAGTAAAACTTTATACATTTATTATGTCAAAGACAAAACAACTGTTTTATAACTGTGCAGAAAGAATATTTCATCCACGCCACTAAGTAGTCCTCCAGATGAGTAACTCACTGAAATGACACCATAAAATGACCCCAAGGTAAAAGCTATTTCCAAATGTTAATTTAGAGTTATGTGACTCTACCTATGGCATCCAGAAGGTCAAGGTAGTTAGAGCTGAGAATGTGCAGTAGCTTGCAAGAGTGAAGGGAAGCGTGTAGCCTGATTTTCTACCCTGTGGGCTGGAAGTGAACGCTTATAAATCTTACAAAGGATAAAACTAAGAGGAGTAGCCTTTCTGTTAAGGGGTAAAAGGGAAAGGATTCTCTCTTCGAAATCCAGAAATTTTGTGGAAGTGCCCTTTGGAGCCGGAGTGAGGCTGATAAGGTTATTTACACAAAACCCATGAAGGAGCCTTGATCTAATGGATAATTAAGAGATAAATCACTCAAACAAAACTGTCCCTTAAAGGAAACGGTGCAAATACTATTGATATCTTTCACAGTCTATTTATTTAATTTTTCATATAACAATAAAGAAAGCAGAAAGCGAATTTGTATGCCAGCCAATCTTGCCTGTGAATTCTGGTGAGAGTTAAGCTTTGGCACACACCAATCTTGCATGAAATAGGACTCTGCTTCTCATTTATAGGGTTAAATTGAAGTTATAAAACATAACATGTGGTTTGGGGTCTTTTCTTGTTAACTCGGGGTAAATACAAGCCTTTGGGTTATGCGGGAAGTACCGAGGCATGTTTATGGTCTTCAAAATTTTGCCCATAGAAGGCCGCAGAAGCCTCCTAAGATTTTACATCCCACTCTGAAGTCATTTAAATCTTTACAAAATGAATCTTTATGTGCAATGAGTCTAATTCTAAGACATTTATCTGTGAATAAAAGTTAAGCAAAAAGAAGGAAATGGTCTAAATACACATATGCTATCTTGAATCTCCTGGCAACTGATGTGTGTAAATGGATTAACAGAATCGGGAACAATATAGAATTTAATTGTTAGTTAAAGACTGAGGAGTATAAATTGATGTAACACACTTACATCTTTATAGTGGCAACATCATTGCATGTTTTGTTGCAAAGCAAAGTTAGACAACAGCGAATCTAGTCTGCTTTCAAATCTGTGTGCGCATTCTTCTATCAACACATTTATCTCTTAAAATTGGATTTGTATGGAGTCAAGTGATAGGATAGGTGTGTGAATAGGGATGTAATGTGATACAACTGTTGAAAGGAGTCTTGAAGTATAGCTCTGTGTTATTAAAAAAACAAGAAATTAATCATCAGCAGTTTTATGGCTATTCTGGTTATAACTTAAAGACTTACTAAGGAAGGGTCAAATTATACAACTCTTTCTCACTATTATACTTTCATATTTAGGAGGTATAGAACACCAGCCTCATTTCTTTACATTGTATCCCTTGAGAGACCACATTCCTCCAGTCATTTTTATGAAACTTTTGCACTTTAACTATGAACTTTGTTATATCATGTATTACCAAGAAGCTCAATGATTTTATCATGGTACTACACCTCACAGGATTATAAATATTAAAATGATTGAATCTTATTATTCCTTATATGATTAAACTGGCATAATTTTCCTAGGATTTTATACTTGATTTTAGCCAAAAGACCAAAAAGTGATTCCTAGGATTTCAAATATAAGTGTTGAGGTTGAGATTGGAAGTGGATGCTCTTGTGGTTGGAATATGAAATAGTCCACAAAAGCTCATGTGTACAAGACTTATTCCCCAATTCAGCAGTACCAGAAGTGAGGCTTGCAAAGGTCATTAAATCATGAGGCCTCTGACTTCTTTGATTCATAATTTAGTGGGCTACTGGGAAGTGGTAGAAATGTAAGGGTAGTTCCCAGTTAGAAGGAGGTCCTTGTGAGTTTGTCCCTCAGCTTTTCCTTTCTCTCTTTCTCCCTCCCTTCTCACCTTCCCTTTTCTTTTTATTTATTTATTATTATTATTATTGTTATCATCATCATCATCATCATCATCATCATCATTATTCTCTTTTAACTGCTGTCATTCTATTGAATTCCCTTTGTCAGTGTTTGACTAATTAATCATCATCAATCATCATCATCATCATTATTCTCTTTTAACTGCTGTCATTCTATTGAATTCCCTTTGTCAGTGTTTGACTAATTAATACCTGCTGGTTGTGAGGACCCAGTCCAAGTGATAGCTCCTGAAGGAAATGGGAGTAACTATCCTATTTGCAGAAAAAATGGATTTCAAACTAAGGCTAATTAAGAGAGACAAAGAAGTTCACTATATCCTTGTAAAAGGAACAAGAGGAAGAGATGACAATCATAAATATATATGCACCAAATATTAGTGCACCCAACCATATGAAACAAATATTAATTGACATGAAAAATCAAAGCACTTATACCGTAGTAGTGGGGGACCTCAATACCCCACTGTCACAGATAGACAGATCAATTAGACAAAAAAAATCAATAATGAAATACTAGTACTCAACCAAACTCTTGAACAAATGGACTTCACAGATGTTTATAGAGCGTTCCACCCCACAAAATCAGAACACACTTTCTTTTCACAGCATATGGGTCATTCTCCAGAATAGACCACATGCTCCCTCATAGAACATGTTTAAGTAAGTGCAAAGGAACTGAAATTATCCGCTGTATATTATCAGATAATTCTGCAATGAAATTGGAGATCAATAGCAAAAGAACCCATGAGAACTATATAAACACATGGAAATGGAACAAAATGCTCCTCTTTACTTATTCTTAGAAGAACAGAACACTAACCCTTATTTCTGGTAAACATATGTGAGCATATAACCCTGTTTCTAGTACCCAAACTAGCATTAGGGCTATTTCCTAAGATCCACCTGGAGCACCAATAGAAAGAATAAATCAGAAATCCAGAGAACACAGAGAGGACACTGACAGCTCTTTGTGATAGGAATTGTTACTGCAAGAGGACCCACCCTTTGGGGTAGAGCAGAAGACTGCAAGGGTGGCTGTGGATGCTGGAATTCTGCTTGTGCTCCTCCCCTCTGATGTCATATAAAAGTGACCTTCATCTGAACTTATCATGGGAGCTTGTCAGGACTCAAGGGTTGCATTTTACCCTGTTGTGAACATGTGAGGGCTGAAGAAAAATGCGCTGCTAAAATTGAGTAGATGAGTTAAAGCAAGGAAATATACCAGAAATAACAACTCAAATATCTATGTGGTCCAGGTAATTAATACTAGTTAAGAAAGCATGGTTATCAAGAACAAATGAGAGCTGAGAAGAAAGTGCTAAATTAAAGCCTATATGTCCTTTATAAAAAGGCAGTGACCATTTCACACTAACATATGGCCGCCATGTTGTGAGACTAGTTATGCCAAATAATCAGACATTTCAACAGAAGCCAGAAATATGATTTTTATTAGAAATTTACCAGTGTTTAAGTATTGCTTCATACTTAACTCAATGCAAGCCAAATGAGACACATCTGTGACCATTCAGGGTCCATCATACCCGTCTTCAGTTCACTCTCAACATAACAGACTGAGGGATTTTCTTAATGCATACATCAGATTGCTGAAAATTCCCCAAGGTCTCCCCATTTCACATGGGGAGAAAATCAAACATAATTTCTTGGTTTGTAGGATCCGTCTCATGCCTAGATTTCCCAGCTTCTCTCCTCATGCCAAGATACTTTTAAAGACTCAAGTCCTAACTTCTGTACTGTGATGCTGTGCATCAAATACTCACAGAACTTCTATTATAGACTCTCTTTTCTACCTCTCTCCTACTTCAACTCTTTGCTTTCTTTTGGTTTTGTTTGGTGACTTTCTGAAATGAGAGCTATTTGTTCTTTATTATTATTTATAAAATGCCTGGTGTGTGAGAAGAAGAAATGTTTTGCTCACAGCTGGGCTTAACACAATGTGTAGCACATAGTGGGCATGCTGCCTGTTAAGTTTTTTCACTCAGTTCCAAGTGTGTCCTTCTAAATTCCATTCCATGAGTTTGGGACTTGGGAAACTATGTTTCCATTGCCCGCTGGATTTCTGTCAAGTTTTGTCAGTCAGGGTTATTAAGATGTATTGGAAGGCAGAATGATGGGAATGGCTGGGCTTTTTCCATATTTCCTGTTTTTCTGGCAGCAGTGGTTGACTCTGGTTTCTAGATTTTTCTCTCATTTTTTTAGAAGCAGCTTCATTCACAGCCATCAGAAATACCAACACCTGCCAAGCAACAGCCCCTTGGTAAGGGTGGGATTTCCTCCTGTATAAGTTCTGTCCTTCAGGAAGTTTGCATTTCTACCAAGCAAAGCAACACTGTCCTCAAAGTTTCGGTCTCCAACTACACTCACCAAGTTCATGGGCTCACTCTGCTTTCTAACAATGGGAAATGGGAGCCTCTTCTTTTCATCTGCTAGACACACAGTAGTACTTTCTTCAGGCAATAACTGCCTCGATGGTGTTACATTATTGATATTCCGTTACAGTCTCAGCCCTTCGATGTCTACTTGATCGATTCCTTTATAAAAGCTTAGCTTAGGTACTGATTTCTGCCTCCTCTATTGAAATTTGACTTATACAACAGATATTTAATAAATAGTTAACGCATTTATGAATAAATGTATGTGGCCAGCAGACATCCAGTTTGTAAAATATACCCCTGTGAGCCTACTCACAGAGTTCTTGTGACAGTGAATCATCTTTACACAAATGCAACCAAGTCATATCCTCCCTTTGAGCCATTTGAATGTCTTGGTCAAATGCCATGTGCTCCCTCTGCTTAAACTGTCCCTCCAGGGCCAGCTTATGACCTTCAGAGACCTTTACACATTGATATTATGGTGTTTTGAATGAGTGAGTCAAATAAAATATCTTTATAGATAGGTATGGATCTAGATATTGGTAAATTAGGTGTAAGACTGGCAAAGTTTTATTTCCTCTTATTTACTTTAGTCTATTTAACATGTTGTTTTAAGATCAAATTCATCAAGAAATGTATCCTCTTTCCTAATTTTTATGTCCCCCAAATCATGGTACCCTAATCATATCTTCTGTCTGTTGCATAGATAACAATTCTGTCTAACACTTTTAAAATAATCATATAAAGGAAAAGTTGAAACACAGAAACTTCTGGAATGATTCATGCAGACAATGGACTCTATCTTCAATCTTTCACTCTCTTGAGATTCAAACTCATCTATGATCATTTTCTCCATAACTTCCTGAGGCTTCCACATTTATTGAGTGTCCATTATAAGCCATTGGCCTGGAGCTACGGAAGGAGCTCAGTAGTAGAACTGGCGTGTGTGACTCTCTGGGCCGTCCCACCCGTAGAACTGCAAACATGTATTTTCCACTTCCTATGCCTGCCACTGTATATATATTGAATCAATTTGCCCTCATGAACTATTATGACAGAATTACTTAACTATTTTATGGTATGACAGAACTTAATATAGTCTGAATGCCCCAGAGTTGTGTTATAAAATGATGTGTCTCTCTTAACATTTTCAAGAGTACATGATGTCTTACATGTAAATAGCATTATTAAATTTGCCAGATATAAACTGAGTAAATGTTTTAAAATACAATTTATGTCTTCGATTTAAAATTGAATTTGGTTTTCAACCTTTAGAGATGATCTATATTAATTATCCACAAAATGTTTAAATATGATCAACATTTCAGTGCCAATATTACTAGTCCTATTTTTAATTTCTCTTAGTTGACAGTATGAATGATAAAGTGTTGTGATTAAGCAAATACATTAGTGATCTTGTTAAAAATTTTAATACCTTTTTTTATTAACTCTAAGACAAAATACAAATCCATATCCTAACCTTCTCTTTGCAGGCCACCTTCCTCTCTAGGTTTGGTTTTCATCAATTTTTTTCCAGGAAGATAGTCTGGGCCCATGGGCTAGTCAGCTGTTCTGTGACAAATACCTGAATAAAACAATTTAAGTAGAAAAGGTTTATTTTGACTCAGAGTTTCAAAGATTTCAGTCCATGACTGGCTCCAAAGCAGAAAAACTCATGGCAGAAAGACATTGCTGAGAAAAAGCACTCACCTCATGGTAATCAAGAGAGAGAGAGAGAGAAGGAAAGAGCCAGCAATGAAGGGGTTGGGACAGATACCATCTCCAAGTTCCTGTTTCCATGGTCCACTCCTTTCATCAGGGCCCCATCTCCTGTTTCTATGACCTCACAATAGTGCCATAAAATTCTGAAACAATTAATGAGTCAATCTGTAGGCATTTCCTCTGCCTAAGAATGCTTCTCCCCTCCCCACTCATCTGTGGCTAGTTAGTCCTATACTCATACTACAGGCCTCAAAGCCCACTGTGTCCAAGAAATCTAAGTCCTCCCATCTTGTCTGGTTACACTGTGATACAACTCAACATTTCCTCAAACTTCTCCTTCAGAGCACTTACTATTTTATTCAGGTGTTAAGCCCCTATTTCCCACAGAGGCAGAAGCTCTTGTGAGACCAGCGATTTTTGTTTCATTTCCTTCTTGTATCCCAAGAACCTGTTAAAACAGGAAGTAGGCTTTATATACCTGTGATATTGACAAAGACACACCTAACCCTAATAGAAGTCTAAGGTAATCTTCTTACATGGAGGATGGACATTTCTATTGTTTACTGAATCTCTGAAATAATATAATAATATTAAAAAGGGACAGTTCTATTTTCTAGGCACTAAGTTTGAAATTCAATTTATCTTCATAACCCTGAGGGACTATTTATGAAATTTGGAGAATACTCAATGTATGTATGCTTCACTATAGCCAGGAGTTTAAATTTGGTAATTAATTGATATTGCTTCTTTCTGACCTTGACTAAGTCTGAAGGACATCACTTAGCTCAAAATGATCTTTAAAAATATCTCACATGCACAAAAATTTTTCTGTCAGTTGAATTTGTGCATGGTTGTTTGGCTTATTTTAGTATTTTGGCTATTATTATCTGGATTGTTTGTTTTGTGGTTCTGGGGATGGAACCCAGGGCTTTTTGCTAGGCAAGCATCCCTCAGTGTTGTACACAGCTAGTCCTTTCCTTACATTTTAAACCAGAGGATGATGGTCCCCATCCTCTGAACAGCTAATGTTGCCCCAAGAGACTGGCCACAGGGATAACATGATCAAGGATATAAAGTCCTAATAGGGCTCTAAATGAATATCATTACAGGTAGAGAAATGTCACAGCTGGTCAGATATGAGTAGCTGATGTGAGTAGTGATCCTCAGTTTCACTTGTTCTTTTTCATTACAGCTCTTGTTTTTTCAATAATGAAAGATGCTCTATTATTATGGCCCTGAAAGGGGGTTCAGAATATTTGGACTCTGACATGACAACTCATTTTTTTTCCAAACAAAACACCTACCCTGCAAATTTGTTCAGACAGCTTTGATACTGCAAATGTATGAGGTCCATCCACATGTCATAATTGGTCATGCATGAGGTAAAAAGCAATCTTCCAATATCCTTTCTTTGGATAGTTCTCCTGAGTTTCTTTCATTGGGAAAAATTCTGGCATTTTTATATTAACAAACAATAAATGATGGCTTTGTGGGATAATAATGACTTTCCTATGTCTCTGGTTCAAAAAGCATCTTTTCCAACACTATGTCCTTTGGAATTAAAGGTAGATTAATTAACTGCTACTAAATGACTGTTACCTTAAGAAGTAGGAGTGAAAGTTCTAAATGATTTTGTCATATTAAAATATCTTTGATAGGAATGTGGCACGGTAGGCAAGCACACACGTCTCTCCAATAAGAACATGCTACAATCCGTTGCTCTTCTGGACAGGTACAAATCATTTTGCATTTGAGGAATTCATGAGCTAAGCTCATGTGTAAAAGCAGTAGTTCTTTGGGGTTACATCTGAAGAAAGAAGAAACAATCTTCTAGCTTTAGTTCTGAGAATTTTAGAAGAAAAAGATTACAGAAGGAAAGGGGGAGAAAGACTACAACTGATAAGATAAATATGATGAAAAAAGAAGTATATAGATTGCTTGGACACAGAAAATATTCAAGATTTAGACAAAAATCCCAAGAACATGGATGCAAATGTATTACACACCTGGAATGTTGAAATAAATAAATTATAATACTAATGTAACTACAAGAGAGGGCCAATTAACAAGTTGATTAGTAAAATAAATAGCATATGAAATGGAGAAGAGAGAGAGAGAGAGGCAGTGTCCTGGGCAATGGTTCTCATGCACCTGTGTAGAACGCGTGAGGGTCTTATACTGAGAAATCCAGGACAGTCATGGACGGCATGTACATGAAGCAAAATCCTGAATGCAGTTTCAACTGGGAATGACTTTCCTTGTCAGAAAGAGCAAGCCTGGAATCCTTGAAGTATAAGTAAATTTAGAAAGAATATTGCATAATTCCTTATTTCTCTCTCTTTTATTGTTTGAAAATAATAACTGAGATTGGGAACTTAGAGGGAAAAATTACACCTGTTTTCAACCATTCAGCTTTTCATGTTCTATTGCATATCTCATGTATTTAAAGATTGGCTTTTCAACTGCACCCCCGAGGACCCCCTTTCGAAAGGACAAGCTATGAGTCTCTGGGATGTACTTACTGTCTTTATAAATGAGAGCTGACATGGCTGGGGATTTAGCTCAGTGGTTCTGCCGCCTTACTTGCAAGAGCAAGGACCTGAGTTTGATCCCCGGTACCATTAAAAAAATTAAACAAATGAACACTAAGAGTAACTTCACATGTCTGCATTCCTTCAACCATGGTTTGTTTTCTAATTATAATATATGTTTGTTCATTTTAAAGTTGATTTTTTTTCTCTTGTCTCAGACTTATTTTTAGATCTATGCTTACCTTGATTTTGTTCCATTTAGCAGAAGAGCATTCAAGTTTTCAAGATGTTTAACTATACAATATGGAACTTTATCTAAAATAAAAAATTATTTCATGAATAGAAAAGACAACATAAAATAATCCTGCTTCCAGAAAATTAGTTTGAAGAAGATAAAATTTAATTCTAAAATTTGAAGTGTCATCAGTGTGCTTCACTTCACTCTATATACAAAGAAACAAAGACCAAGATGTTACATTGGTAGTAATAAGTTAGCTAAGCAAGCATGTTAAATTATTAAATTTGGAGTATACATTGTGCCTATTATGTTACTTACCCTTGCAGTGAACTAGAAAATGAATGTGGTCATTCCAGTCTGGTTAAATTGGAAATATATTTTATACAGATGTGCCTAATATAGTTTCCTGGCAAAGGAATAACGCATACAACTTATATTTATAAGTATACAAATCTGGCTTTATATTATAATGCCACTCTGTAAAATCAGATTTCCCCCTCTGCACTTTGGTTTTCACTTTCAGGATATATTTACCTCCTTTTATCACTTAAAGTATCTTTATTAAAACACTATTTTTTCCAGATCTTTCAGAGCTGGCTTCATTTATGGGTAGGCTGGGGACTGAGAATTAGAATAGGAGAGAATGTAAGAATAGGCTTATATAGGGAGTAATCTATTTAAATCCAGGGGATTCACCCGCCTTCATTAGTACTAAATTGATTTTTGCAAAATCCTATTTCTGTTGCCAACTTAGTTGAAATTCTGGTTTCTTCCCCTTTTGTTTTGGGTCTTTTTTTTTTAATGCCAACTAACTGCACTTCCATCTGTTAAAACAGTTATAGTACAGAGTGCTAAGGTTACCATTTCAGTTCTTTGGGCTCTCTCATTAGATCAATCCAGCCCAGGAGACGATGGAAACTTTACCTAGGCTAACTGTCCACTGAGTTCTCTGTCTTAAAGTGTGTGTGTGTGTGTGTGTGTGTGTGTGTGCGCGCGCGCGCACGCGTGCGTGTGTGTGTGATGTTTAACTAGTTGTAATGAACATATTTTAAAAGAAATTTCAGTGAATGACAGTAATAAAATAAATACTTTGTTGTTTTCTTTGGGGTTGTTGGTTTGTTGGCTTTGACTTTTCTTTTTGGTACCGAGGATCAAACTAGGGTCCTTGCATCTGTGAGGCATCACTGAGCTAAATCCCTTGCCCTGTTGTTTTCTTTTGGATTACTGAATAATAGCTGGTGTCTGGATGTGAAACCCTGATTATTCATATATTGAAATCCAACCATTTCTTTGATGGTATTTGGAGCTTAGACCTTCAGGTGGTGGTTAGGACAGGAGGTTTAATGAAGGACATTAGAGCCCATTCATAAGAAACCCAAGAGAGCTCCCTTGTCCTTTCTCCCTTGGAAGGGCCATGAGCAAACAACCATTTGTGCATCAGAAAGTGGTCCTGCAGCAGACACAAAATCTGCCTGCACCTTGCTGTCTGAATTCCCAGCCTCCAGCTCTTTAAGAAGTAAATATCTGTTGTTCCTAGCTCATAGTCTCTGGTATTCCACTATAGCTGTCAAACCGAAACAGTGAAACTTGCATTTAAAGCCTGGGAATTTTAAAATGATAACAGTGTGAAAGTAGCATGGAAATTCACAGTCAGTTTTTAAAATCACTCTTTATCAGACCAAAAGTGTTACTGGATAGCCCTGCTAGTACTAAACATACTGACACTTGTGTTCCTTCTTGGGGTGCCCTGTGAAAGGAAGGTTAGTTAACTCATAACTCTTTCAAGCCAGGACTCAGAATCTGGTGTCAGATCATTCCTAACATATTTATAAACACTGGATTATTGTGCAACAAATAAGGAAATGCACATTGCTAGTTGGGCCTTTCATTTTTATCTAAGCGGCCCAAAGTTCACCATGTTGGGGAGGATGAAAAATCACACCGAGGGTCCCCGGGCTTTGCCATGCCTTCCTCATTATTCACGATTCCCTTCCCTGACACCAGGATTTCCAGTTAAGTTGTACCAGGATCCATCTTGAAGTGATCCCACATATCAGACCTTTCCTTACCAGTGTAAATTCAAAGCGAAGCAAAACAAGACAACTGCAGTAAACAACATAGCAAAAGTTCTGTGCATAATCAGAGAAAAAATGCATTTGATGTCTTGGGCTGGTCACAGGAAGATTTGAAGAACCAAAAAGAATTGGATATTTCTTGTATTTCGGGAACCATGCAAGGTAGTTTACACATACTTTTTCCTTTCCTTCTTCTAACCACATTATAAAGTATCTAGCAATACATCTTGTACATAAGTATAATAAAACTCAG